GAATGTCTGAAGATAAGCTATGACTTTGGGGAATATGATAATCGTGTGAGAAAGTGTTCAACCACGAACAACAGACTGATGTCCACTTGAGAACCCTGGTAATTGTATGGGGTGTTTCCTTTCAAGCATTTACGGTGCCTTTCTCTTCTGAAGCGTGATCCCTTGCACTTTACATGCCCCTACCTCTCCATCTACCACTGTCACGAAGTACATGTAACATCCAGCAAACACACTGCTACTCTTTACTATTTCTTTTTTTAAATATATATATTTTTATTGATCTCAGAGAGGAAGGGAGAGGGAAAAAAAGATAAAAACATCAATGATGAGAGAGACTCATAGGATCAGCTGCCTCCTGCATGCCCACCTCCCTGGGACCGAGCCCGCAACCCAGGCATGTGTCCTGACTGGGAAATGAACCTTCACCTCCTGGTTCATAAGTCGAGGCTCCACCACTGAGAAACACCAGCCGGGCTGCTCTTCACTCTTTCAAATGAAGCATGTATAATCCATCCTCTGAGCTGGCACATGTGTGGGACTGAATCAATAATTTCATTTTTCTCTTCCACTGTCCCTTCCAATGCATCCTCCCTGCCCTCATACGAACACACTTGCACAAAAGGTCCCATGACTTTTCTGCTCAAGCAACCATGTCAAAGTCCCCAAAGAACTAAAATGTGCAGTCTGGAAATAAAAGAAACTTCAACCCGCTTATAACACTAAAACCTGCCCAATGCCAGCTCGGTCCTGCAGCAGCTGGTCCACTGCAGGGCTTGGGGGACAGTTAACCTCGGTCCTCTATCTCCACCTTATGCAGCTTCTCACCCCTCTGAGATCAAAGCAAGCAGACAAGACTGTGCTGTCTTCACACTATTTATGGGCCCTTGAGTGATATTCATTATCCTTCAACTGACTGCTCACTCACTACCTTAACGTCTAGATTTCTGGAAACTCTAGCTGCTGGGGTGCCCTTGTCCTTAGGCTAAATTTAGAGTGGCCCTGGGCTAGCCCCCTCTCCCACATGGTCCCCCAGCTGGTCCCCAGGACATCCTCAGCATCCCTTATCCCAACAAACTCTGAGGAAGGAGGTGATCCTACAGCCCAGACCACCAGGTGAGCCCCAATGCAGGAAACACATGTACAACTCAACTAGTGGTCCCACAATAACCCCCCCCACCCCCCCCCTCCACACACATACACATTAGGTTTGGGATAAAGGAAGGAACAAAAGATCCCTTTGAAGAAATCCTCTCTTCATCCTCATATTCTTGAAATGACCAATGGTTTGGTAGTTATAAAAAAGTTCTCAAATGTTTACACTGAAATTTCTACTTGTTTGTCTGGTCCTTTCCTTTCCCATTTCACTTAAGTGTCTCAGTCAAAACTTTGACTTAGTATCCTATTTTTTTAATAAACACAAATATTTAGAATAGCCTGTTAATTTCCAGTTATTTTTAAAGTTCACTTTTGTCATATATCTCTTAAACGAAGGAACTTGAGTATTGAAAGGGGCATAAACATCAAATTCAACATAAAATCCTCATGCAGTTTGGAATCCTCTCCCAGGCGTGACAGAAGATGGCCCAGCGTGGGCTTTGGTCTGCTTCTACTTCCTCTTCCTGGAGTGTCTGAGGACTGGCCCCGTAACTGACCAAGGCTCCTTTCTGCAAAGTTAACTGCTCCCTGTTCCTCGTGTGGCCTGGCAGTCAGACCCTCATCCTCCAGGACACCTTCCTCTGGATGCCCTGAGGGGGGTCCCTGTCCTCTGCAAAGGGGCCGCCCAGACTGGTCACTGAGTAAAGTAGGCCTGGACTCCTGTGATCCAAATGCCACACACAGGTTGGGGGTCGATGACAGTGGTTAAGAGTTCAGGTTCCAATGTTCCCGTCCTAGCTCTACTGATCCTAGCTCTACTGCTTACTAGTTACGTAATCTTATGCAAATTAGTCAACCTCTCTGTGCCTCGCCTTCTCATCTGATAAATGGGAATGGTGCCAATCATATTCCATACTCATGGGATTGTTACAGGGGTGGAGATAAAATGGTGAAACACTCATAGCTGTGCCTGGCACGTAATAAGCTCCATACAAATGTCTATTAAAAGACCTGCCCTTATCACTGCAACTCCTGTCTGCTATGGAGCAGCTACTTCGCATTTTGTGTACTTCAGTCAGAAGTTGGTGGGCCATTGAAACGCCCAGGGTTTCTCTCTCACACAAAGTGCTACTCATCAGGGCCACTCCTTCCTTTACTTAAAAATATATATATTTTTAATTAAATCTATTGGGGTGACACTGGTCCATAAAACCATATAGGTGTTGCCTGATTAGTGTGGCTCAGTGGTTGATCACCAACCTATGAACCAGGAGGTCATGGTTTGATTCCAGGTCAAGGCACATGCCTGTGTGCAGGAGGAAGCCAATCAATGATTCTCTCTCATCATTAATGTTTCTATCTCTCTCTCCCTCTCCCTTACTCTCTGAAAGCAGTAATAACCTTTTGAAAAAACAAACAGATTTCATGTACTATACAACTCTATCACACATCACCTGCATACTGCATCGTGCACTCACCACCCAAAACCAAGTCTCTTTCCACCACCAGTTAGGCCCCCTTTGCCCTCTTCTACCTCCCCCTACTCTCCGTTCACTCTGGCAATCACTCTACTGTTGTTCATGTCTATGGGTTGTTTTCTCCCTTCTTAATCCATCACCCTTTACACCCAGCCCCTCAACCCCCACTGATTCTTTGAACCTAAATGTGGAACTAGACCTTCAACCCTAATGTGAGCTCAACATTGTAGTGTTAGATCTCTTATCTGGATGTAAAATGAGTCTCCTCAGAGTACCCTCCTAGGTTTGTAGATGCTAAGAGGTGCAAGGAGAAGCACAGACCTCCTGTATTCCACTCTTCCCCCTCCTCATCCTTAGGGGCAGTATAAAACTTTGTCACATGCCTTTGCAAAAGCAGGACACACTTGAGATTGTCCATGATGGGAAGGGGGGGTCCGTGGCTTTATAGGTTCCGTACTTTGGGAACCTCTGTGAAATGTAAATAATAACAGCCACCCAGCTGTGAGGACCAAAGGGGACTAGGGGACCTACCTACCTACCGTGTATTAGAAAGAACGTAGCTAAGTTGCTATCACACCCTTACAGTAACAGGTTAAACATAAAGGAGTTAGAGATTAATTATGATGGCAAAATACCTCCATACCTGGGGGTCTAGAGAAATGGGGAGGAAGAAGGTTACATTTGCTGATGATGTCATTTGCAAGATAAAAGATGGTGACCCCCGCCCCTGTGGGCAGAGTGGGGTGAGCCTGAAAGATGAATGAGGGCAGCCAGGGATAAGTATGCATGCCCAAGCAGTGGCAGCAGGATCAACACACACAGGGAGGGGTTGTGGGGCTAAGGCCTCACTTCCTCCCTTCCCCCTCCCTTGGTCCCCTATTCCTGGGGCCTTTGGTTAAAAATAATAATAACAAAAGAATGAACACACAAGGTGATTCATAAAACAGTACTTAGCGTTGCACACATACAATGCACTCTGAATTTCTCTTCCTTTCTAATGATTTCATGTTTTAAAAAATGCTGGTGTGACTCACTACACGAATGTCATTACCCCCAGTGAGTCAGGACCCACATGTGAGAAGCAATGGCTCTATGACTGTCCCCTAGCTACCGACCGACCAGCTAGCTGGTTGCTGGAAAAGAGAAAGACGTTAGTTTGGCATAAATTGTCCTCATAAATTCTTTCCGAGGTGGTCTCCACCTGTCTTCTTTAAGGATTTACTTTGGAATGCTGCCACGATGTCATGTTTTCCTCTTTTGAAAAGTTCCCCCGGCTCTGCTCTCCTCTCGCAAGCCTGCTCTAAGGTTACTGAGAAGGCTCTCACGCCCTAGATTGCCTGTTACCGGGGCCTTGCACAATCCAGCCCACCTGCAGGATTTGAGCTGGCCCGCCCGAGTTGAAAAGAAATCAACAGAAGCTACTCTTTCTCCTGTTGCCTGTTCCTATCACCTCATCTTCCATAAACATCGAAGGATCTTGCTGATCAGAACAAAACCCTTTGTGGTGCGCGGGTGGCCTCTTGCTTTCTGAACCTCATCCTGGGTGATGCGCTCCAGGTGAGGCACCTGAGGAGCCCTGGGCTCACAGCCCTCCTCTCCAGACCCTCTGTTCCCTGGGGGGTTCCGCTGGGAACCGCATTTCGCCTCTAAGAGTTCCTGTAGGTACAGGAGTCCCCTTCCCTTCCTCGGAGCAGCGCAGACACACGCCCTCAGCTCCCTTTGCCTTCAGAGCACGGTGGGGCGTTCCGTTGCCTTCGGATTAAATCCCAGGGGATGCTGGGTTTTTCGTGTTATCTTCGCTGGGGAAACCTCAAAGCCTCCACACAAGTTTCTCACTGGGCGCCTCTGTCTTCCGTGATGAATTACGCAGAGAGGACGGCACCAGGAGGGAAAGGAACCCGCTGTTTCTCTCTCATCAGCACCACGGCCTGCGGGCCAGCTCTCCGGTGCAAGCAAAATGAATTCACTGTCCAGCGGGGTTCATTCGGGGAACCCTGCCCGCTGCAGGGCGCGCACCCGCCCGCAGACAGCGCGTTCTGCCTGAGCCTGCAAGGAGCCTGCAAGGAGCCTGCGCCCAGAAGGCGGCGGGACAGGATGGAGCCGGGCGGGCGGGGAGCAGAAAGTTTTCTCATCCTCCGGGGAAGAGATGACTGTCTCTTCTCAACCAAGAGGAGAAAACCCTCCCGAGCCCCAGTGTCCCTGCTGCTTGCAGCCTGTGCTCAGCCCTCCGGCGGGAGAGTCACAGCAGCGGGCTGCGGGAAAGGGTTTAAACTTAGGCCCCACTTCCCCTCTGGGCACCATCCAACCCTACTTCCATCCTCCCCCCAAAATCCCAAACTAAACACCACCCCCAACCCACATCCAGCCAGCTGCCTCCGCCAGGACCGCAAGCGCTCCTCTCTGAGTCCCCCACCCTTTCCCGGTTACCTGATGGAGCGCCCCGGGCCACGGGCGCAGCTGCTTGGAGGTGCGTGAGCTGCCTTGCCGCTTCCTCTTCCTTTTCCTCCTCCTCCCGCAGCGCCCGGGCCACGGCCGCCTGGGGCTGGGAGTCCCTCAGGCTCCAGTGCACTGCGCCCGGCGGGGACGCGCGCTCCTGCCCCGCCCGAGGCTGAGGCTGCGCGTGGCCGAGCCTCCTCCCCAGCCCGGGGTGCGAGGCCACGGAGATGGGAGCTCCGCAGAGCCCTCTCCTGCTGGAGCCGCCCTCACACAGCCTAGCCAGAGCCTGCTGGATAGAAAGGAACAGAAATCTGAGAATATTCCTGACCACCGGCTCTTCGTGGGTCTCTTGGGCCAACTCTGAATAACGGAGGGGAGTGAAAGGGAGGGCACCCGCATAAATAAGATTTATTAAAAAAAAAATCCTTATCATTTGGGTGCAAGTTCAGTGAAGGGCAGGGTCCTCCAAAATGTGGTACTTGAGTTACTACCTCGGTTTTAGTTCTCCCCCTGCTTCCTTTTACGTAACATGCAGGTGTCCAATATCCCCCAAACAGGGCCCCAGGATAGGAGGGGGCGGGAAGTGCATTCAAGTTGGCAGACATGGCTCACTCTTCACTTGCAGTCAATATTTACTGAGTCCATCTTTCCGTGCCAGACACGGATCTAGGCCCTCGGGATACAGCCTCCTGGACCGTTATTCTAGGGGGGGGGAGCCAGGAATAAACATAATGAATAAGTGATATATTATATGTAGTGTGTGAAACAGCCCCAAGTGCTGTAGGGACAATAACGCTGGCGACAGGTAGAGAATGTGGATGCTGTGGGAGCAGCTTAAAATCAGGTCAATGGGGGGGGGGGGGGGGGAGAAGAGATATATGTATTAAGGGGGATGGATATGTACTACTATATGTAATACTTTAAACAATAAAAAAAGGTTGCAAAAAATAAAAAATAATAAAAATTAAAAAAAAAAATCAGGTTGCCAAGGTGGCCTCCCAGGGAAGAGGGCTTTTGAGTCAACAACTGAAGATGAGCGTGCAGGTCCCTCTGGTACTGGGAGAAAGTGTTCCGCCCTAGAGGACATCTCTTTCACTGCGCATGGGCACTGTGTCAGGCAATATTATCACCATCTCCATTTCACAGATGAAGAAACTATAGTTTGGAGAGGCTAAGAGAACTGTGCAAGGTCTCATGTTAGTCAATGGAGGAGCTTGTCTTCAAGCTCAGCACGCCTGGGCCCCAGACCCTGGCTAAGCTGACCCTATCATCCTGGGGAAATATATAGCAAAAGCAGCACCCAGGCGGCTGCCAACCGTGTGATCACTCAGTCTCCTGGGGAAGAAAAGGATTCCTGGAGATGACATTGTATTCATTGATTTTGTGTGTGTGTGTGTGTGTGTGTGTGTGTGTGTGTGTGTGTGAAAGATGTGTTATCATTACATGTAAAATGAAATAGTTTGCAAACCATCTGTACAGCCATGTGCAAACACCTCAGCCTCATTCACAGGCAGTTTCGTTCTATTGGGTCGGCAGCTAAGTAATTGCGGGTTTCACACACATATGGCTTCAGTTGAATTTTTAGGTTTGCAGACGTAGTACAAATGTAAAACACATTTTGTTATTTGGTAGTTGGCTATTCAGCTGTTAATCAGTGAAAAAAGTTTTTTGATCTGTTTTGTAGTTTTCGTTTGGCGTTCGTTGAAAAATGGAAAATCAAAAGGAACATTTTCGTCATATTTTGCTTTTTTATTTCCACAAGGGAAAAATGCATTGCAAGCTCATAAAAAGTTATGTGCTGTTTATGGTGACGAAGCCTTAAAAGAACGGCAGTGTCAAAATTGGTTTGCCAAATTTCGTTCTGGTGATTTTTCACTCAAAGATGAAAAACGCTCTGGTCATCCAGTTGAAGTTGATGACGCCCTAATCAAAGCAATAATCAATTCGGACTGTCACAGTACAACACGTGAGATTGCAGAGAAGCTTCATGTATCACATACATGCATTGAAAATCACTTAAAACAACTTGGCTATGTTCAAAAACTCGATACATGGGTTCCTCACGAACTGAAAGAATCACAGTTAACGCAACGCATTAGCAGCTGCGATTTGCTAAAGAAACGTAATGAAAATGATCCATTTTTAAAACGACTGATAACTGGCGATGAAAAATGGGTTGTTTACAACAATATCAAGCGGAAAAGATTGTGGAGCAGGCCAGGTGAACCAACTCAAACAACATCAAAAGCTGATATTCATCAAAAGAAGGTTTTGTTATCAGTTTGGTGGGATTACAAAGGAATTGTCTACTTTGAACTCTTACCACCCAACCGAACGATCAATTCTGATGTCTACATTGAACAACTAACGAAATTAAACAATGCAGTTGAAGAAAAGCGGCCCGAATTGACAAATCGAAAAGGTGTTGTATTCCATCATGACAATGCAAGGCCACACACATCTTTGGTCACTCGGCAAAAATTAATGGAGCTTGGTTGGGATGTTTTGCCACATCCACCATATAGTCCTGACCTTGCACCATCTGATTACTTTTTGTTTCGATCTTTACAAAACTCCTTGAATGGTAAAAATTTCAATAATGATGATGATGTCAAATCGTACCTGATTCAGTTTTTTGCTAATAAAAACCAGAAGTTTTTTGAACGTGGGATTATGATGCTGCCTGAAAGATGGTAAAAGGTCATTGATCAAAATGGGCAATACATTACAGAATAAAGTTATTTAGTTCCATGAAAAAATTGTCTTTGATTTTCTTTAAAAAATCCGCAAGTACTTAGTTGCCGACCCAATAGATGGAGTCATTGGACCATCTGTGATGAGACTCATTAGTCCTTCCCTAATACTCCAATTGCATATCTGAATATAATCCATCACCATGGAGTAGAGTCTGGATGGTGGGTCAGCAGGGCATGTGAAGCTGGTCAGGGAGAGCAGAGTGACAGAATGAGTGAAAGCATGAGTAAAAGGAATGACATCTTACAATTGTGACAACATGGATAGACCTGGAGGGCATTATGCTAAGTGAAATAAATCAGAGAAAGACAAATAGCATTTGATTTCACTTAAAAAAATAAAATAAAAATAAAACAGACCCACAGATATAGAGAATAAGCTGATATTTGCCAAAGGGAAGAGAGGTGGGAGGTGGGAATTTTGTTTTTAAACAGAAGAGAGAGCATGAGCACAGAGCTACAGAGCTGTTGCTGTTGAAAGGCCAGTCTCTGCCTTAGCCTTTAGAATCAGGGCCTGTCTTGGGCAGAGTGCCAATGGCTCCTGGGGCAGAGGAGAGGGCACACACTGCACTATGTGGAAAAGGCTACTAACCATCAGCTTCAGAGGCTGACCCTGCAGCACCCAGTGGGAACAACCTCATCAGTAGGGTGGCAGAGCACCAATTCTTCCCTAGGTATCTGCCTTCCCGTAGCTGCTTCCATTTCCTTCTTCCCTTCCCCAGTGCCAACAGCATCTTCCTATCTTCCCTTCAAGGTCCATCTCAAAGGCCGATTTTCCCAGGAAGCCTTCCTTACTTCCTTACTTCCTTACTCCATGGCTGCAAATGAACTCTTACTCTAAAATCTGATACCTCTCCACGGCACTCGTCATTTTAGAGGGTAACTCTAATCTTTTTTCTTTTTTAAGTATATTTCATTGATTTTTTTACAGAGAGGAAGAGAGAGGGAGAGTTAGAAACATCCATGAGAGAGAATCATCAATCAACTGCCTCTTGCACACCCCCTATTGGGGATGTGCCCGCAACCAAGGTACATGCCCTTGACCGGAATCGAACCCGGGACCTTTCAGTCCGCAGGCCGACACTCCACTGAGCCAAACCGGTTTTGGCTAGAGGGTAACTCTAAATAGGCTTCTCCTATTTTGTCAGAGCTAGCTTTATATTTAATTTCTCCACAGGTCTTAGCTTAGTGCCCTGCGTCCAGTGGACATTTAATAAGTATTTTTGTTAATAAATCAATCTACAAGAATACAGCTTCACCGTCCCTTAATTTTGTCTTTTCATTCCAAAAATAACTATCATGCTCAGAGATAGTTAGTGATAGGACTGAGCTGTATGTAGCTAGAGTTGTTGTTTGTCAATAGAAATTGACAACGGGTTTACTTTTAGATAAATTCTATTTGTCCCATTCTGAAATCGGAAAACTGCGGTCTAAGAGTCATTCCCCAAGATCACCATATGAGACAATGACAGAGCCAGGACTTAACCCCAGGACCATTTGACTCCACCATGCGTGTTCTTCGCCATAGTCTCATGGGGCTCTTCATTCAACCATTCAGCCATGCATGCATTCATTTGAGCTTTCAACACATACTTAAATGTACCGAGTTCAGCCCTGCACCAGCCTTTGTGAAAATACCAATGATTAAAACACAGTTCTTGGGGAATTTGAGGAAGGTGGTGAAAAGGTACAAACTGCCAGTTATAAGGTACCTAAGTACTAGGGATAGAATGTACAGCTAACACTGCTGTGTGATATGTAGGAAAGTTATTGAGAGAGTAAATCTTGAGTTATCTTTACAAGAAAAAAATATTTTTTTCTTGTTTTCTTTTTTTCTTTTTATTGTATATATGTGAGATGATGGATGCTAGCTAAACTTACTGTGGTAATCATTTCACAATATGTGTAAGTCAGACCATTATGCTGTCTAACTTAAACTTTTACAGTGACATATGTCAACTGTGTCTCAATAAGCCTTGGAAAAACCCATAGTTCTTGCATGCATCGTTGCTTGCAATCTAGTAGAAGGGACTAACAAGTTAGGAAATAATCAGACTCCAATGTTATGCGTCTTATAAAATACATGCATAGAGGCTGGAAGAGCACTTGGTTTTACCTTGGATGATGGGGAAGTAGGAAACAGCACTAAGGATTTACTGAGAAGATGGAATGTCATTTTAAATTGGAAGTAGATACAGTAGTTTATTATAATGATATTGAAGAAAAGCTAATGGTAGGCAGAGTAAAAATCAAATGCAAAGACATGAAAGCATGAAAGAAAACAATGCATTCAGAGAAAACTATAAGAATTCAGGAGGCCACAGCACAGTGAGGGCAGTATTGAGATAAGACAGGAAAGGTAAGTGGAGCCAAACCACAAAGGATCCATAAATGAGCTTTGTGGACTCTATTATTTTCTGAAAATG